TTGTACATAGTAACTCCATGAAGTTACTAACTTTAAAAACTACCAATAAAGATATAAGCAAGGCCTCACCTTAATACAAAAAAAAAATATTAATCTAGTTTATTTAAATTTTTCAAAATTTAAAATATAATTAGATTATTATATAAATTAATATATATATATATAATTTATAAAATTTAAAATATTAAATACAAAATTCAATAAATATAAAATATCAAATAAAAAAATATAATATATATTTACTTACCTGTTGCATTTAAACATAGAAGTAAAGTTATTCTTTGTTTGTTTTTTTTAAATCCTGCAATTGCTTCACATGCTAATATTTTTGAAGGTCTCATTTTTCAAAACAGAGCTGTTTCATCACAATTATAAATATTTTCTAAATTTCAGTTATTTAAAACATTTTGAAGATCTAGACGATGTTAAGGAAGTTTCTCCAAAGGGGCACTTAAAGCTTCACCATGTCTGGTAAATTTTCTTAATTCTGCATGATGTTTAAAGTTGATTAACCAACATTCTAAAGCTTTAAAATTTGAAATTTGAAAAAGTTCTGCAAAATTTTGAGTCTGAGCAGTTAACATAAATTCTAAAATTGTAATATTGGCTTCTAATGCATGATTTACCCAAACTAATAGTGCTTGTTCTATTAAAGGAAAACCAGGTAAATGATTTCTTTGTGATTTTCTAATTAAACTATTTGAGTTAATTTTTAACCAATAATCTTTTCTTTTTAAAATATCACTAACTGTATTAATACTAATATTATAATCTGCTACTAACTAAGCTCTTGTAATTTGTGGATACTTTTCTTTTTTTATACATAATTCTTGTTTTTCATATTCTTTCAAAGTTACATACTTTTTAGAAGATATAGAACTTGAAGACTTATTGGGAATCTTATTTTTTTTATAATTTTAATGAATTAACTTTATTTTAGTAACTAGCTAAGTAACTTTTTTTAAAAAAGAACAAAATGAAACTACTTTTTTTCAAACATATATAGTATATATATAAACTTTTGTTATATATATATTTAGGATTGTTATACATACATACAGTATTATATACAAACTAATTTTAAAATTAGAATATATGTAACACATTTTTCTTAATTAAATCAATTGGCATAAAATTAACTTTCTTTAAGATTTCTTTGTTCACATGCCATAGGTCATTTCTAATAAAGTTATATATTAAATATTAAACATCTTAGCCATTGGATACAACCTTATACATGATTTGTCATATACTCTTTTATTAGAGACAGAGTTTCACAGAAGTGAAACAAAAGGTATAACTTACAGCTATATTCAATAATGAATGTCTATAGTTAATGGTAGAATTACTAAATTACATCATACTTCCATATAGTAGAATTAATTTTACCATAAGGCTTAATTGGTCCAGATTATTTATTTATCAATTTTGGTTATTTTTCACACATGAATTCATTATGCATATATATATACTTGTATTCAGATATGCAATTACAAAATATAATTTGAATACAAAAAAATTGGCATTGCAAGAGTTAGGTTAATTATCTATTATGTACCAGTTCTGATCATTAAAATTTTACATATAACAAAATAGAATTAAATTTCTTTTAAATAATTATCTTGAACTTCTTAATGATTATGAAGGTTTTAATGTAGTCATTAATGTTGGTGAACCACCAAGCACATTCAGCAATTTTAAAATACTGGTTTTTATATTTTAACAATGAATTAAAAAATATTAATAAAGACAAAAATAATATTAAACTATTTAATTTAAAAAATGTTTCTTAAAATTTACTTTTAGGTTATTGAAATCATTTGCTATATAACTGATAATCCAAATTATATTGTTAAAGGTCATTGGTTTTGTTAGCATTGGAAATGCAAGCATCGATTACTATGCTTAAACATAGAAGAATGTAAAAATAATTGTTCACATGAACCACAATGTTAAACTGAAATGCAATAACTATTCAAATAGACATGTAAACATGAACCAAAATGTACTAACAGAGTAGGTTGTATGAAAAAATAGATATGTTGACATGATCCTGTATGTTAAAGTAAATGGCATTGTAGAAAAATTGGAGATGCCAATATCTGATACAGTGCAGAGACTTAGTACAAATGGACTGAAGAATATGAACCACATTGTCAAGACAAATGATGATGCCATCATGTTAAGAAATGTTAAACAAGATTTGAATGTCAAAAAAGACCATCTTGTAAGAAATGAAAATGTCCACACAATTCTAAATATTATAACAAATGGAAATGTTAAAACAAATAGTAGTGTTAACACAAGAAGAAATGTGACATGTTGAATTCTAATCTAAACAAATGCCAAAATAAATGTCAAATGCAAAACAGAAAAAAAATATAAAGAAAAATCACAAGCATTGTTTTAACAGCTTGAGTACCAGTATAAAGATGAATAGAAATGTTGACACCAGTGTGAAGATTCAAGAAAATGTCAAAGAAAATGAGAATGCCCACATGTAGAGATGAGCATGCACAAGATTTTTTTAAATCCTGCATGGAATTTTTAATATGATCCCAAAATAAAATTATTTGGCCAGAATTACTATAATATCTGGCTAGCAATAATATAATATCTGACCTGCATTAACATATTTAGTAAATTCCTAATTAAAATTTATTTAGTTATTTGCATACCATTTCACACATATGTTTATTTATATATATGATAAGAATTTACCTTTTTTGCTGTTAGTATCTTTCACTTACATTACAAAAATATTATACAGAGTTCATTAAACTACAAAATTTTAACCCTAATTTTACTTAATGAGCAGTCACAATTTCTTTACTAAAAATTTGAGTAAT